AGCTGAGAGATTCTTGCAACATCGCCTCTTCCGTAGCGGCTTGAGGAGGGAGGGATGGTGGAGCGGCCAACGAAATAAACAGCACCCTCAGTGATAAGCAATGGAGGAAGGAGCCAACATTGCTCAGCAGATTCTGTGAGCAGAGTCGCATGAAGCAAGCTGTTGTACATGATTGCACCATTTCCCAGGAGATGCTAGCCTGTTACTGTTCACTGGTATATAGCATTCTTCAGGCGAGTGGAACATGTAGGCCTAGACCCTGGAGAATCACTTCTGGAGTGGCACCGGTTGTTTCTCTGTGTGCAAGGAGAGAGAGAGAGAGAGAGAGAGAGAGAGAGAGAGAGAGAGAGAGAGAAGGCTATGGAAATTAACATTTTATGGATGGTGGGTTATCCTGCTGAAAGATCCACTTCTGTTGTTTTTTTAATCATTTCTTTGCAGACTGTTCACATCTGGTGTTTCCACCTCTGTGCTTTACAGTACTCTTAGTGCAGTTTTGTTGGAATTCCTGTTTTTTGGTTGTTTCTGGGCTTTATATATAAATGATTTGGTCTAACAAAACTAATAATTTTCATAATAAACATTTTATGATGTAACTTAAAAAACTTCAATGTGTACCAGTTTACCAATGGTTAAACAGCCAAAATACTTTTTGGGGCCAATGTATAGCACTGCGTAGACATTTTTCCTTCAATATTATTATCATTATTAGTAAGGCATTTGTTAACTACAGTAAATGTAAAACCACTTGAATCTGAAAGAGCAAGAGAGAGATAGAGAGAGAGAGGGGTTATGAGTGTGACTATGTTTGTGTGTACAAACACTTCATGCAAAACCATTTCAGTCTGAATCTGAGAGAGAGATAGATAGATAGATAGAGAGAGAGAGACAGATAGAGGAGGGAGGAGATAGAGAGAATACTGTGCTGAATGCTGTGTTGCATGACAGAGGACCAGTTCTTCTCCCTCCACACATGAAATGCAGATCAGCTCAGTTACTCTGAACTGCACTGAGGATGGGACAGGTTGCCATGTAGCGTTTGTGTGTGTTTTGTGTTGGCTCAGAAGTACAGCTCAAAGCACTCACAGAGGCTCTTGGGAGTTGTAGTTACATGAGAGATGTGCTAAAGGGACCAGCTGGCATTAAAGGCCACCCTCAGCTCCATAGCAGCCTGTAACCTAGTTACCTTTTTTTTTCTTGTCTCTTTCATCTGCAGCTGCTTTCATATGAAAGGTGTATATGTGTACGCACCCATACTCTACACGATGAATGAAAACGCCTCCCGGAATGGACAGTAATGTTATCTGTCTGTCTGTATGTCTATCTGTGTATCTATCTATCTATTCATTTAGCTTTGTGTCTGCTGTCAAAGCTGACCTTGCAATGTGAGGAACACCTTCTGAGAGGATGAGTTAACACAGGGTGCTTTCCTGTTGGATCATACACCCAGCCCCTCTCTCTGTCTTACATACAGCACACGGTCTCTCAACGCACCCTTAGATCTCCACAGATGGCGTCTATGGACAGGATGTGCCATGCATCCTGTCTCTTTTAACACACTGGTCTCCATGAAGGAGCACTGGCAGGCCGTCAGGACTGTGAAGTCTATTCAGTCATTCACAAATCACACCAGCCACTCTGCTTAAGGAGAGAAAGAGTGCTGCAATAAATATCCCATCAGCTGAGAATAGTCTGGCATTATGTCAGAACACTGTCTAGACAAAATTATATTGGGCAGAAACCCAAGTCTGTTCAACTGCAGTATGTAATAATAAGAATAAAGATAAGAATAACAATAACAATGATAATAAATGCTACTAATACTACTACTACTACTACTAGATAATAACAATAATAATAAGAAGAAGAAGAAGAAGAAGAAGAAAAGTGCAGATAGCATACAGTGACTGTGAAACTTAAACAATTTCCAGGTGGTTGCCAAGGTGTTACTATGATATTTTAGGTGGTTGCTAAGGTGTTTCGTACCAGTTGCTATATGCCATGCTATATACAAAGTTAGGTATTCTATTCTAAGTTATTCTAAGTCAAAAGAAATAAAAGACAGTGGAGAACAACAAATAATTGTAACATTTTCTTAGAATAAATTAAACTAAGAAGCACTGACCTTACTTGATTCAGATATTTCTAATTGCTTACACATGAATAAAATATATTTCATCAACTCAATTCTTTCAAAAAGTAAGTAAATGGAAAGAAAAAATGTGCTGATGCATCATATTTTCATTCATGTGGAACCGATGTACAAATTTGGATCAAGTAAAGTTAGTGGACTTTTTTGCAGAGTAATAGCTAAAACCACTTTCACCTATTTTATAACTATAACTGGTCAGAAGATAATGCTAGACTGTTAACCTGTAGAAGACTAGCGTTAATATTGAACATTTGCAATATGATTTAAATGTCATTAAATAATTAATTGTAGAATTGCATTTATTTTCAATTTACAGTCTGTACGGACAGGATTGACTGCACTTCTGAATTTTCTTTTTTCTGTCATACGATGACAAAAACATGGCAAGACAGAAAATGGTGTCTCTAAAAAACAACACACAACAATAACTTTTCATCAAATCCAAGTCATAACTAAATATCTCCTCTTCTACTGAGTAACACAAATGTGATATGGAATAAAAGCTTGTAATCTGCAGTGTTGACAGAATTTCTCAGCTTGTTTGAATGAGCTTTGAGTGAGAAACAGTTAATATTGAACTACACCATGCCTTTGACACCAGTGATAACTGCAACTTATGAGAGTTAAGCATAAAAATATGCTTGCCATCTTTGTAAATCGCACATAAAAGATATGCTCTAGGGCAAATTAGTTAGTCCTCTAGATCAGTCGTCTCCAGTTAAATTCACTTTCTTTTATGATAGCAACAGAATCGTTTTTCCCCTTCTGTTACCAGTTATATCAGTGGTTGTGAAGATCTGTGTCGGTTCAGTCTCTTTATGACAAGCCCGACTGGGCCTTTTGTGGGAGCCAAATGTTAATGAGTGTTATGCAATGTATGAAAACTTTGTCTGGCGACATTTCTGTGCAACGTAAAGTAAACAGCAAGCAGTGAGAAGCAGTGTGATTTAGCGATTCAGGAGGGGATTCGCCTGGCTCACTCTGCGCCCCTCTTATCTTTTGTTCTGCTCTGTTCCCGCTTCTGTTCCGCCGTCGGAAAGCGGGCCTTGTGATCTTGAATGCTTGAAAGGGGTTCCAGGGAGCAGAAACTAGATCAGTGTTTACTGCAGGACGCAAAAGGTTATATAAGAACCTTTTCTGGCTTAGACACAGAACCCACAACCCCAGCCCCCCGAACTTGTAACTTTGATATTAATGATAAAGTGTATGTGTGAGTGCAGGATTTGATTTATGCTGTTCTGCTGAAGGTGAAAAAAACAGAACAATTTAAAATCAGCATCAGGCACTGGCTATTAAATGGCTGTCCTTTCACTACAGACCTCTGAGGTCATACATCAATTTGTAGTAACATTCCAGGTCTAAACTGGTTTTGTCTAAGGGCAAAATGAATGCTGTTTTTCAAAGTCACCACATCGCATGAATGTTTCAAAACTGATATGTTTTTCTCCCTGTATACATAGTGAGCTAAGGGCCATATAGGTAACAAAAAAGGGCAATGCATCATGCTTAAACTAGACAAAACAACTATTCACAATGTATATGTATGCTACGCTCTGACAGTTTGAATTACAAAGTTTGTTTAGCTAGCTAATTAGCACACTAAGGCTATCCTAGCTGAGGGCAAGTGCATTCCAATTGAAAGCTCTGCTCTTCATTGTCCTTTGGTTGACCTTTGATGTCCCCGGGACCGTAACTTTGATGTTAGGAACCCTTTCTTAGGTTTTATTATAAAGTTGTGTTTTTTTGGCCTACTTTCAAAATGTATTGTAGTCACCAGGCTAGATTGCAGAGAGTCAAAATGAAAATCTTATCAGTGCATGCAACCCTAAAAATTTACAATTCATTTGGGTAAATGTAACTGAGCAAATGTAACTACTACTCACCTCTGAATATACTATGACATGTCTTTTGCAATTGAATACTTGTGGACATATTTTCAGAAGTTTCAGTCTTTGGTGGGTGGGTTTTAAGCACAATTTAAACTGGAGATTTTTTCTGTATCTGGCATCCCTAGTGTAATGTATCATATAAAGAGCCTAGACCGTAGACACACAGGTATGCTAAAATTCCTACACAATTAATCAACCTTGCATTATGTGTAAGTAGGCCTACACAATGCTACACTTGTTCAACACCATTATAAAACACTTGTTCAACACCATTATAAAACAACACCAGTCACTCAAACACAGCTTATTACTGCTAAAGTCACTTGACTACCACATTTAACCACCTTGCTGGTTTGCACAGGGTATTTTGGTGAGGTTGCTGGTCTTATCATCTCAATTAAATGGGCAGGAGTGTTTGTCTGCCTGTAGCACATCCATCATCTCCATCCATCCATCATCTAAACCGCTTATCCTTCTGGGTTGCGGTGGGGTGCTGGAGCCCATCCCAGCTGTCATTGGGCGGAAGGCAGGATACACCCTGGACAGGTCACCAGTCCATCGCAGGGCAGACAGACAGACATATACATTCACACACACCTAGGGGCAATTTAGCATGTCCAATCAGCCTGACTGCATGTTTTTGGATTGTGGGAGGAAACCCACGCAGACACGGGGAGAACATGCAAACTCCACACAGAAATGACCCTGGTCACCCGGCCGGGAACCGAACCCAGGCCCTTCTTGCTGTGAGGCGACAGCGCTACCCACTGTGCCACCGTGCCGCCCTTATGCGTAGCATAATGCCAACAGGACTAAATGCCTAAGTTTTGGAACTTTTCAGTGAACTATTGAGATGGATGACTTTAGAAAATGGCATAGGCCCAACTCTAAGGTTTACAGAGAGCAATTTTCATTAGTAGACTGAAATGTGTATCTCACCTCTTTTCTTGTTTCCATAGATAATTGTCAAAAAATCTCCTGTGGTAACTGGCCCCTCCCACTGGAAGAATGAGTTCCTCCCCCCTTGTGTCCCGTGCCTCCATCGACATCCTGGAGGAGCTGCAGCTTATTGCAGCCCAGAACCTGGAGAAGTTGGATATCAACAAGTACTATGAGGTCATCAGGGAGCTGGGCAAGGGCACTTATGGCAAGGTGGATCTGGTCGTCCACAAAATCAGGGGTAGGTCTGAGGGGCAGGAACACATGCCTGCTCTTGGTTTTATTTCCCCAAATACAGTCATTAACAACTAGTTCTATTTTTCTACACAGGTAGTTTCCAAACCTGGTCCTAAATGGTTTTTGGCTTGGACATACAGTTGTATAAATAACCTTTACTTGGAATAGCACCTCTTCACAATTCACTCTCATTCAATCTCATTTATAAAAACATGAATTAAAGGAAAGATTTGGCAAAAAAAATCTAATTCACACAAGTTTCCACTTAAACTAGATGTAATCGATCAGCCAAATTTTTCTTGTTTGAGCTAATGGGTAGACTTCTCTCAAACCACATCCAGGTCTTCATTAAGATGCAGATTTATCAATGTAGTTTAGGACACAGTATGACTTACTGTGAGCTATAAAAATAACCAAAAATTTGAATTCTGATGGCATTTACAGAAAAGATTTGAGTGACTATTGACATCTGCTGTCATCTACTGACACCAGACATGTCATGGCTAATCAAGTACATCTGGGATAAGTGGAAAAACTGTGTAAATTAGATTTTTCTTCAAACTGTTCCTTTAAAAAACTACTTATTAAAAGGGACCCATAGGGGCTTCTTGTATGGCACCATTCCAAAATGGTGTGTGTTTTCACTGCTTTAAAACAGCCACTTCAGCTCAAAAAGGGCTTGTTGATTAGAGCAGGGAAAACACCAACATGTGCAGGGCAAGGGTACTTGAGAACCAGGATTGGAAACCACTGTTCAACAGCAAAAACATACCAAACGACATACTCTTCCCTGTTATTGGAAACCACCTTATGTTTATTTTTCCAAGACTTGTAACATGCTTACACGATTAATCAAATTTACTTTGCCACATACAGCACTTATCCAATAGGCCTTTCATCTTGTCCTTTGTTCCCAGTGCTCAGCCTGCGTATGGCTTATGATACTTTGGCAGCCTACGGTTTTAGGAATCTAGTGGCCGATCTCAGTTCCAGAAAACAGTACAGTATAGTCTGTAGGGATTAGCAGTAAAACACGTGACATACTGTCCTTCAAAATACCCATCCCTAGAAAATCTGTCTAACCTGCCTGCGACAGAGGCCAAACGCCAACCATCTGCTCCTGGCTGCAGTATTAATGTCTCTTTATGAAATCCAAACGCAAGAGCAGCCTGGGTTAAATGGCACGTCTGCCTTTGCTGTTCAGAATCCTCCACGTGCTCCACAGTCTGTAAAATGTCCTCTGTTTAGTTATTTGTTCCAGAGGAGTTTTAAAGAGCCACAGAAGAACTCACCATCTGTTGGCACCACAAAACCCCATCACTCTCTCTTGCTCGTGTTGTGCTGAAAGAGCAGTACATAAGGGCTCAGGACTCTGAAGAACTGTGCAGATCATTCTTAAAATCCATAATACCACTTCGAACATCAGAAGGCAACACACCAAAAGCTAATAGAGGCCTATTTCGGTCACTAACCTCAGATTTATGTGATTAGGAAGCTTTCTGAGAAGGACACAAAACCAAAATGAACAGCTCCTCTGATTTTCCCAGGCGTTTACATCAAGTACCCAAAAAGAAATATAGCCAGGAAAACTCTTCAGAAAATCTCCACGGCACTTTCCACGTGTTTCAGTACTGGCTTTAACATGCCCTCGTCCACTTGGCCTCAACATTTCCCCACAGGGGAATCCACAACACTATCTTAAAGGCTGTTTCATTACTTTATTAGCTCAAGTGAACTGTGCTCGATAAGTTCTTTGAGGGGTGAGGGAGTGAGTGAATACAAGTGTTGAATCCAGCAGCAGAAATTAATTCAGAAATCATTGTGATCCAACACATTTCCCTTTTTAAGCTCACAAGAATGGTAGGCAAAGCTGTTTATAAGACATAGCAATTATATACTTAATAGTAATATTTGATTTGCTATGTTCATAATAGGTTCATAATCTGCTATACATGAATAGGTTCATAATCTGCTATACATGAATACTGATACAACATCCTTACTCTACTCCGCTAGCCTCCTAGTTAGTATGTGAAAGGGTACACAGCTAGCAGTTCTAAATCAAAGATTAAGCCAGACAAAGCATTAAGGATTATGTACATTATTTTCAAACTTGTATTACAAAATTCATATGGCTAGCTAACCTAGCTGAGGGATAGTGCATTCCAATTAAAAATCCACTTCTCACTGTCCCCATCTCCCCTTGCATTGTGAGTGGCCACTTGAGTAACATAGGTGTGACTGCGAAGTTGGTGAGTGCATGTTAAAACCAATACTGAAACGAGCCATTTGTTGCTGTTAATGATATAGCAGTATATCATTGTTTTGACTTATCTAATGTAATAAGTTAAAATGCATCAAGTTATGGCATGCAGGCATTTTATTAAAAAGCAAGGTCAGGAGCATTTTTCTGGTCCTGGCAGAGTAGGTTAGCAATGTTTTACTCAGCTTTTCTCACATTGAGGATGTTTTTGTCCTGAACAGAGATACATTTGCATTTTCCGCATTCTCTACCTGTCATGACTGTCACTCATATCAAAGAATGTGGTGTTCCTACTTAAGAAATAGCTGTCATTGCACTATATGCGAAGTGGGAGCCTGAACAATCTTCATTAGTACCCTGAAGGCCCTGCTTATATCCTTACACAGATATTCCACCAACTGTAATTAGATGTTAGAGATCATCCACGGAAATAAAGCAACAGAGGATGACAAGTGAGGACTAATGAGTATGAAATATTAATATTTCAGAATGATGAATATTTTAGAGGTCTAGATGGAGAAAGAGAGAAAAAAATATAAGTCTGCATTTGCAAATCTTTTCACATTTTGATATTTACAATGAGTAATCCTCCTCCTACATTATTGTGCCGTCAAAGAACATTTAGTGAGAACTATCATGCTTAAAGCAAACTCAGAATCACATAGCATTGATAAGTACATCTCCTTTTACTTTATTCGTTTTCCTTGCTAGTAGCAACAGCATGCCAGTTCTTAAGCATTGTTCCACCTCTCTGCCTTTCAGACACATTGACACATCTGCTGAGACAGATGCCAGTGGCTGAGAATGTGATGGCTGTTTCAAGCTTTAGTTTTGCTTTCTTTGGTTCTTTACTCTGATTGATGGGTTGGTCTCCTGATCTACGCCTATTGTGTTATGTAATACAAGAGGGGGCAGGGTCTCCTGCTATTCTGACCTTCTTTATAAAGGCGTAGCAGCTGCTCACAATAAACAATGCCCTGTAAGAAATTATGGTCAGTAGTGTCTTTCAGAGTAGAGTCTAGCTATTTTATTAAGCTGAAGGAAAAGACTTGTTGTAGGAGATGTTTGAAATGTCACTGGTGATTTAGAACTGTCCATTTTAAGATTGTTCTCAGGTTTTAAGAACCCCGTCATAGATATGAGAGCATATTGGACAAGGGGAGGCTCAAAATCTTCTACTGCAACATTGCTGTGCTCCCAGCATAACTAGAATCTGTATCAGCCTCTTTACATCTTTACGCAACGAGTGACGTCTGGAAGAAATTCTATTCTGCAAAACTCATTATGCATCTGCCTTGATCTTCGTAATAGTGTCTTCATGTAAATGTCTTCAACAGTGAAACACAGGCTCGTAGATATCACAACAGATTTAGGCCTATAGCTTGTTTGCAACAGGGAGGCTGCAGCCGGGATTCTGCAGCAGAGCTGAACACTAATCCTGCTTGTCCATTCCCACAGGCACTAAGATGGCCCTGAAGTTCTTGCGGAAGAAAACCACAAAGCTGAAGAGCTTCCTGAGGGAGTATAGCATCTCACTTTACCTTTCACCGTGCCCCTTCATCATCAACATGTACGGGATTGCCTTTGAAACTGACGAGTACTATATCTTTGCCCAAGAGTATGCGCTAGCTGGGGATCTCTTTGACATCATTCCCCCTCAGGTGAGACCACTGACACTGGCTCATTTTAAACTGACTAGTGAGTGGCCTTTCAATTCTGTGAAAAATAGCTGTGTTTGAAAAAGCATACCGTATGCTGCATGCTACTCTTTACATCAGCATGCAGTATAGTATCCAGTATACCACAGTTAACATGTACTGTATGCAGAGGCTGAGCCAATCAGAGCATCCCAAGACCCACCTTGTTTTCTTAGCCCTCTAATCACTGCAACTGTTGCTATGCAGTATATCATGAAGATAGCTCTGGATGCATACTGGAATATTTGGCCAAATAATACGACAGCTGGGTATCTTGGGCTTACTGGATATTTTTTGTTATGAGTGTAGTGTGCACATTTAGTACATAAGCAGTATATAGTAGGTTTTTTTTAACACAGCTTATGTCTGTTCCTTATATTACAATTAGGTTTTGTTATTGCAATAAATTACATCATGATACATTTGTCAGTATTTCTAGGACACTGGCAACAACAGAGATTTAAACCAATTACAGAGAAGCTGCAAACAACAAACAGTAGTGTAACTCTGTATGCTGCACAGTAACAAGGAGCTGACTGGATAATTGCCTTGCCTGATGCATTGTGCCTGTTCCAACTAGTTTGCAAACCTGAGAGAAACTAAATATCATTAACACATGTTGTGCATAATAAAGATACAAGATTTAAGAACCACAATATTACATTTTTTGCCATATTGACAGCCTTATCCCTAAGTAAAACTATGGTTAACAATGGAGAGTTGAACCTCTCCCTTGTTATTCAGTTCGAATTTGAGCCTCAAGAGGGGCATAATATGACAGGGATTCTTTTGATGAAAGAAACTGGCCATATTCTCATAGGGATCGAAGAAAGTCAAGGTGCCTTTCTCCCTATTAAGCAATGTATTCAAATGGCTTATTAAGATATGACTAATGCTGAAGACAAAAGGCTAACATGGACTTAGTAATTAGGCTTAAAAATTGATGTCTGCTATTGTTTGGGAGCATTGTTTTATTCTCACATGGAAGGATTGTGGTAGTTTTGGGTCTGTCTGTGTCTGATATAAGCTCTGTATCTCCTTTTTTTATAGCATTATTGTTATCAGTAAGACTTTCAATGAGTCACCAAGGCATTCAGTGTTTGTCACTTCATTTTAATTAAGGGTATGAGAGTCCTTATATGCTCTCCACTGTAGGAGAAAATAATGAGGTGGCCTGACTGTGCTTATTACATTTATGACATGCAACACTGAAAAGTATACAATGACCTTAATGAGGGATAGACCTATACTTTGTATCTCTCATATCACCAAGTCATATGTTTTCTAAGCATATCATTCCCTCAATCCTAAAACCTCCTGAGGTATTTATAGCTGATCTTGTGATAAATGCCAGCTTCAGGTTTCAGATTCAATGAGGATTTCATGTTTCATAGCATCTTGCTGCCACAGTACAATAAGTCTCCAGCTTATCGCTGATCAGGTTTTTGTGATGCGGGGGCTTAAACTGCTCCAGTCTTGGCTGCCTGCGTTATTCTGATCCTGCTGTTGTGTAACTGCATGCTGTTTCTCGTCAAGCCTCTCATTCCATCTTTTCTCTGTTTGTCCTCCTGTGTAGGTGGGGCTCCCGGAGAGCGTGGCCAAGCGCTGTGTGCACCAGGTTGCTATTGCTCTGGATTACCTGCACTGTAAGAAGCTGGTGCACCGTGACATCAAGCCTGAGAACATCCTCATCTTTGACAAGGAGTGCCGCAAGGTGAAGCTCTCGGACTTCGGCATGACACGGCGGGCTGGATCACCAGTGAAGCGTGTGAGTGGCACTATCCCATACACGGCGCCAGAGCTGTGTGACCCGGGCCGGCAGGAGGGCTTCCGGGTGGACTACAGCACAGACGTGTGGGCCTTTGGCGTACTCCTCTTCTGCATGCTGACGGGCAACTTCCCTTGGGAGAAGGCAATGCCATCTGATGCCTTCTACGAGGAGTTTGTGCGCTGGCAGCAGCGGCGGAGGCGAGCCAGTGCCGCACCCTCACAGTGGCGCCGCTTCACCGATGAGGCACTGCGCATGTTCCGCCGCTTGCTGGCCATCGAGCAGGACCGCCGCTGCTCCGTCAAGGAGGTGTTCGCCCATTTCAACCATTGCTGGATGCTGGACACAGAGAACGGCAACACAGGCACTTTGCCCGGAGATGCTGCCAACAACAGCAGTGGGGTTGTTAACGGGCACCTGGCTGAGCTCAGCTCCTCTTCATCAGATGAGGACGAGCTGGTGGACCGTCTGAAGCAGCAGAGCCTGTCGCCCGCTTGCGTCGTCATGGAGCCGGTGTCGGCGCACTACGCCAACATTTCTGCCAACAGTTCACCGTCTTCAACCAGCAGCTACGAGCGTGTCTCCCGTGACAGCAACGGCAATGGTGGCCGCATCCTTGTGGCTACACCCATCGAGATCTGCGTGTAAGGATGCCATACTTTACTGGACTGCAGTGAGGACTCAAGCCCTTGAACGGAGAAATCATGCTCTGTAGCTCATGCCAAGTATAGAACACCATGAAAGCATTCTACAGAGAGTTTCCAGGCAGACTTCAGCTGTCGACTGTTCCTTATGACGAGTGTCTCTGAGGGAATGACATGGGTAGAAGACAATCACATCCCATTGATTGTGTCTAAGGGTTTCAACTCCATTTGTTCACATGTAAACTGTGCACCATAAAACAGTCCAATGGAAACTAAAAAAAAGTAATAACAATAAACAGAGGGAGTGAAATGTCTGTTGTGAATGACCCAGAGCACCATAAAGCAATATGTTTTTGCAAAAAACAAAAAGAAAGAACTGCAGTCAGAAAGGAACAGAACAAGGAACACTGAACAAGGCTGGAATCTGAAAGAGACTAATTTCAAAAACACAAAGTGATTCATAATGTGATTTTTGGAAGTGGTATTTTTTGTGCTTAAACATCCAGTAGGTCAGTGGGTTAGTACGTAAAGAGCTGTAGTTTCTGTTTGTTATTTTGTCGCATTATTTATTTTGGTTTTGTGCTTCTGATATTTTGCTATTTATTTTACACTGTAGCATCATAGAGTAATAATACCCAGTTGCCATTACAGTGAGTTAAATTGTAAAAACCTGTTTACTTTCTCTAAACCAAAACTTGTGCCCATCAGAACATCTCCCAAAACTGCATCTTAAAGGAATCTGAACAGTGGATGCATGCCGTTTTCTGTGTGGTGCATTTGTGAGTCAGCAGACCGGATTTGTCTTCAATGGGTCTTCTCACTGTGAGCGAGGCCTGGGCTGCTCAGATGATGTTACTGATGTGATCACAGTGCATACAGATGCCTGTCGCTACCCTGAGCACAGAGGGTGTTTAGTCCACACTGAAAATAGGGCTGTGTTACGTCACCGAGCATGCCAGAGATTCAGAGGCGGCGGTGCCCACATGGTTTAAAATCACTTGACTATAACTTGAGATGAAGGATGCTACTGACTGTTCTATGAAGGAACATTTTGAAGAGATTCTGCTGACTTGAAAGTGTTTTTAAGGATTTCTCAGGTATATGGTAGGCCTATGCTGTGTAATATCTCACCACAGCCCAGTTCCAGTCTTGTTATACAAAGGCAATGAAGGACACTGTGAGTTAGCTTTTTTAAGTCAGTGTATCATTGAAATGTGTGCCATGGCAACGTGTCAGAGAAACTGATACGAAAGCGCTGCATTATTTAAAATGGCAAAGTCTGAATCTAATTACACAGGCAGAGTCAGATATAGAACTCGATCTGATATGGGCTGTTATCATCTCCGGTATGTGATTCATTTAGTTTCAGAGCTAGATGAAAAAAAGACTTGAAAGTCTCGGTTGATACTCTCCATTCAACTGCCTCGCTCAAATTGTGACTGAAGTAAAAGGCTTTTAAAGCACTAATCATCTAAACTAAGGCTTATCATTCAAAGCCAGATCTCAGCTCTAGTTTTCATTCAGAGCCAACCCCAGCAGACATCTACATCATAATCTGGATTTTTATAGCATGGTTTTTGATTCTTTGGTTCATGTCTTTGAATGGAATTGTTTTCTGTTTTGATAAAGACATGGTAGCAAAAAAGGGTTTTTATCAACTAAGGTGATTCACTAAATGAAGTGACAGATTGCATATTTTGTGCTGTTTAAAGGCAACAGCTTTTTTGTGAAAACGCTCGAAGGGGCGTTTCTGAAACCGCATGGATTTAAACCTATGTGAAAGGTGATCTTATCTGTGCTACTTTTTAGATTTGTGAAAATGACTGTGTTGTGATATTTTGCAGGAGCACAAACAGATGTCTCAATGGAATCGAAAATCGAAATTTAGCTTAAAAAAAAAAAGGAATAAATCTAGGGTTTATTTTATGCTCTATAGGTGTTATAGGCATATACATGCATCCTAAATCAGAGGCCCAGAGCATTACCACCATTTGTCGGGTGCTTTCTCGGCTAGATTTGAACCCTTGGACTTTAATTTTGGTTGATATTCACAATCTTAGACAAAAAAAAATGTTCTTTTCTTGAAAAAAAAAAAAAACAGGTGGAGATGAAGAAAACGTGGCCAAACATAATCATTCTTCCACAGATGTTCTGAAATTGACTTGTGTGTTGTGACTTCCAGAAATATTTGCATGTATCAATATTGTTCTGGAGAGACATTGTTGAAATAAATACATATCCTAAATGCAGAAGGTTGTAAAAGACTTTTTTCTTAGTCTTAAAGACAAAGATATTCAAATATGACTCATCCTAAGATCTCATGCATCCTAAGACATCTCCTACACCAGGGGTGCACAACTCTGGTCCTGGAGGGCTAGCACAGTTTGGTAACTTCCCTACTCAAGCACACTTGATTCAACTCACCTCTTAATTGCCATGTTTAGTGTGTATGTTTGAGTGGGGGAGCTGTCAAACTGTGCTGGACACTAGCCCTCCAGGGCCAAAGATGTGGACCCCTGTCCTGCACTCTCAGAAGGTTCCAAAATAGTTCTTGGCTTTGGTGTTTGGTTCTAGGGAAAAGCTTTAATTGGTATAGCACCTTTAGCATATTGTTTAAAAAAACCTTTACACTTGCACATCTCATTTACAAAAATTGTTTTCTAAAGAACCATTAATTAAAAAGGTTTGCATCACTTCAAGGAACCGATTTTAGTATATTTATTTTTAGGATTGTACAAGATATCCTCCCTACAATATAAAAACTTAGCAAAACAGAAATTTTTGTTTTCCTGTATTTGAAATGCATTTACTTGAGCAGCAGTTCATTCACTATCACATCCACTTAAACAGCTCAGCCATTTTGTCAGTGTACTCAGAGTTTGACCTACTAGTTGTGTATTAACATCCCTCCAACCCTCTTTATCTATGTGACAGCATAGGAACCGTCTGCTGTGTCTTTGTGGATTTGATTTGGGGCTTCTGTCGCTGAATAAGGCCTTGCTACAATTTCTTGTCTGATGCAGGGCTTCTAATGGCGCATAACCCCTGTGAGCCCTTCCCTTTCCCTAACATTAAAAATGGAAGGAAGATGGCGGAAGCGCTGTCTCGGTTTGTTCTGTCCGTTTGAAGTGCGAGAGCCCAGCGGAAGGTGAGGAGGAGGAGGAGCTGGCTGGCTGCTGCCAAAGGCAGTGGAAATGTACTACCACAACGCCCCCAAAAAATGTCACTAATTATATCACAAACAACACTATGAATTATCATAAACCTGGGCCTGAATGATTTACCATACATATTTATGCAACAAAGAACATATGCCATATCCTAGGATAATGGCAAGGCTAGGCAATATGGTGATAAATTATATCACGCTACATTTTTCTGAGTACATTGTGGGCATTGCCAGTATTTCTAGAACATTGAAGAACTGCATCCGTCATAAAAAAGACAAATTTACAGACAGACAAACAGTGTATAATAACAGCATAAAATACATAGTAACAAGCAGAAGCGTACCATGACTGTGCAAAGACATAGGGCTCAGCCTGAGACAAGATGTTACCCTAGGAAACATTTGTGAATGTCATGATATCAGAATCAGAATGAAATCAGATCTTACTGTGAGAGGATTTAATCTATTAGTACTTGCTCTGTTAACAGTTAAGACTAGATCATAGTTTTAATGCTTTATTTTCATTTTGTGTCCTTTTGCAATATTTTTAACCTGATCACAACCTAACCTTAGCGGGGAAAGTAAGTACATAAATAAAGGGCTGGAAGCTGGAAGACGTGTTGATGGCGCAGTCTGTGCAGTTGAGAACCATGGCTATTAAAGCTAGACTTCCATTTCAGGATATCAATGTCAAAACATGAGGAAAAAAAACACCTCCACGATGATTCTAACATCTGCTAGCATTGTGATGGGGTTTCAGTAGTTAGCTCTAAGCATTAAACTTTTTTGGTTCTAGATTAAACACATACACAACTGAAGCTATACATATACTAACAACAGTTTCACAAAGACTTTTGCATTAGAGAAGCCTGGTATAGAGCTTCCGCTATTTTCCATTTCTAACAATAATTAGGGGCCTGCTCGTATTCACAGTCAGTGACTTTTCTAGGTCTCCCAGGAGGCCTAGAATGACATTTTTTCTCTAAATAATACAATTCCTAAATTCTTTAACTACAAGCATGATTTTACTAATTAAAAATAAACTCAAAATTACAAATGTGTATTTTTTAGGACCCTGAAATCATTAGACCTCCCTTGAGGGCCTAGAAGGCCCTGAGGATTCCCTTCTGAGCGTATGGATAGGACAGATGTAGGGTCAGAGCAGGTTTGTAAATAATTTATTCTGACAAGAAGAAAAACATTGTAATCATAGAATTTTGTCTGTTTCAACTTGTTTGCATACCGCAGAAAAACGAAATATCTCAGTTTGTATAGTGTATTGTGAAAATTTCAAGCAGCGTAATATTAGATTTTTCTCATATTTCTCAGCTGTACTAGAAACTTCTTTACACATCAATGTCCCTGTGAATGTTTAAGCTCCATTTGTATTAGGAGTTCATGTGACAGCAATATTCTAACTCACCTCAAGCCTTTATCATGGCCTATAAAACAAAGCATCAACACTGGTGGTACTTGCAGGTTATAGGAGAGTGAAACACCAGCATGGAAATGTGTTTGATCAACCTTGGGAGGCTGACAGCTCATCGGTTACAGATTCAGGGAGGGAGAGACAGAGCCAGAGAGAAAGCAAAGGGGAGAGAGAGAGAAAATACTGAAGCACTGAGGTAGAACTCCTCAGGACTGCTGGTGTTCAGAGCAGTACAGTGGTGCAGGGAGCACAGATACCTGCACGTGTACAGCCGCGTGATTGCATTCAATTACTAACCGCAGTCCACAAAGAGGTAGACAGAGCATGGGCACTAAATGGGAACTGAAGAACTGTGTGAAGGTAATGTGTTAACTAATGTTTGCTAGCTAGCCATCCTGCACTTGAATTCCATTCTATTCAATAAAACATTCATATTTCAGAGAAACTGTAGCACCTGCTAACATGCAGGTAAAGTCATTAAATTAACATCCCAATCTCAATAATCTTATCGAACATGCAAGCTAGATAATTTACATAAATATGCCTTAAAAATAACCTTTCCATTCCATAGAGTTTTATAACCAATCAATAATACCTTAATCTGGTGCACTTTCTGCATTAAAAACTATATTTCAAGACTATATAACTATATTTCAAGGTATTTCAAGAGCTGAAAGCTTAAATGCTTTTCTTAGAGCCCTCATGTTACTACCTTACATCAAGGGTTTCTGTTTTGTTAAAGCTGAAAGAACAAAAACACTAAAAAAAAAAAACATCGCTGCAAATAAATCAAGATGTCTATCTAGGCATTTTCATTACAGAGCAACACATGAAATAAAGGCTCTTAAAGGTTAATTACATTTTTGTTGACTACTGCTAACTTGATCATAACATGCAGGAAAACAAACTTTTCAACAAAAGGCAGAGACTATAAAGAACCAGCAAAATGTGAAAACAACCACTATTGCAACTAAGGTACTAAATGATGTTTTTCATGATGTGCTCTAGACTATCAAAAACATCCCGTGTCTAGTTATATTTAGCATAGATGAGTTGATGTCATCATAACATTGTTTACATTTAGATACTTAGCTCATAATAAATAGCAGGCTATTTAGCTCAGTATTAGTCATTTCCTTCCACTGGCTAAGATGTTACTTTATCATAGACATTTTAAACTGAGCTCACTGATGAAAATTTCCAACAAAAAAATACATGAATGGGCAAAAATATTTTAGCATCCACTGCTATTAAAAGAGACACTGCTTTTGCACAGGTTATGGTGCTTTATTTTATTTTATTATATTGTTTTCGGCCACAGCCACGCCATACATAAGCAAAGCTTTTCTCTCTCTAACAGCTCGTTCTCTAATCCAGCTCACATCTCTCTGCCCTCTACAATAACATAGTACATAGCAAAATTGCATACAAAATACAATATTAATTGCATTGAGTAGACTACATATTCGAATGCCCCCAAGGATTGAGGAATTTAAAAAGCAAAACACCAATTTTGTAACTGAATGTGTGAAGTTTCTTGTTTCTTTTCATATTCCAAACACACCGTGTGCGTTACCATGGAGACACGGTGGGCGGACCCTGCTGCAGCACAATGACCTTCTATTGACTGAAAGGGCTGTAGAGGTTGAGATCGCATCCACCAGACACTTCGCTTCATGCACACACTTTAGAGCAAAGTAAAACAACTACTATGAAAATAGTTAGAGAGACTTTTTTTTTGTCTCTAGTGTTCTGCTGCGTCCCAGCCCATTTCCACCCCTGAACATCACACCCTCTAGGAAAAACAGCGAACAGAGAAAGTGGAAGTGGAAGTGACCTGCCTCCTATCTCAGCTGCTTGAGAGGCTCAAGGTGGCACTTCTCCTTTGCTGCCTGTTCAGTAAAAGAGCATTAGCCCACATGTGCATTTTTTCCCTCTGGTTCTTCTTCACCTAGAAGTTACAATATATTATGTCGGCCATCCTGTGATGAGCTTAGAACTAACACTACTGGCAACATGTCTAGTGCCCCAGATAGAGGAGTGGAAATCAAACAACACCTCTGTTCCACTGTTATGTCTAGAGAGATTATGTGAGCACAAGTGAGAGAGAGAATGTGGTCTTTCTGGAAATATCCTTTCACTGTAATGTGTGAGTACATGGTGTTATTTGAGATACCGAATTGGCATGCCCTTTCACAGACAGCTCTCCAAGCACAGGAACTGCTAATTTCCACATGGAGCTGAGCACAGACACTTCGGACAGAAAGTGCACACTGCTCAATCAGGCTGCATGTGCAATAGACTCGTGATCGGCTCTCCGAGCTCTCAGGGCCAACCCTACATCAGAAAGCAGCCATCTGCTGTTAGACTACAATGGATTCCGGCTTGAGACAACACAACGACAGCTTCCTTGGAAGTCTTGAATAGGCTCGTGCGGAATTAGTGCTACCAATGCAGTGAGCGCTATTCATCACCAGACAGTGATGCAGGCCATTTACACATGATAGCATATGGTTTAAAGTGATTCATTTACCAGCACGTGGCAGGGCTCGCTGATGGGTGTCCTCTTTAGAACTTGATCCAAAAAAGCTTTCCTCGCTCATTTCTGTGTCTTGTTGCTCTGGCAACAAGATGTTTTGCCTGAGCACAGT